CTTTCCTGCTTTATTCTCAACTGTTGAAGAAACCTCTTCAACCAAAGCATTTCTTTTCCTGCTTCTGTCATTGCAATATAGTCGGCTTCAGTAGTCGACAAGTCAATAGATTTTTGCTATTTAAATTGTCAAGATGCAGCTCATCCTACAAATGTAAACACAAGCCCTGAAGTAGATTTTATGCTGTCCGGGTCACCTGCCATTTTGCATCTGTATAACCTTCATAAGGTCGGTAATGACAACAAGGAGCGGTAACCTAAAGTACTATTCAAGTACTTAAAGTTGAATCGTGTGAGAAACTTAGCCTCGTGGATCTTTGCAAATCTTGGTTATTATTCATGATGGGTCCTCTCCTACATTTGGAGTGAACTGGTTGAAATGAGCTCTGATCTGTCTGAATCACCTCTAGACCGCCGCGAATATGCAAGAACCCAACGCCGGAGGGGTTTTCGGCGCAGGGACTCTGACGCTCAAGTCAGTAAACAAAAGAATAGAAGCTATGTAATCTAGAGATGTAATGTATGTAGAAGTGTAGAGAATGTGGGAGAGAGAGTTTCCCCATCTATTCCGAAGAAATCGATACACTGATTGACCATAAATCCGGCCCATGGGATCTATGAGGATCTCATTATGTACAAATCACGAATTCAATAGCAAACATAAACCTATGCGCAACGAAACTAAAGGTTTGACGTAGCAAACTTACAGCTGAAATTTTTTGGCGATCCGGTTGATCTTTCAGATGGTCGTACACAACACACGAACACGTCGGGATCACGAACGGATGAACTGGGTCGCGTGTCGGGCTCGCTGGGAGGAACACAGGATGGAGCAGCTCACTGGGTCGCGTGGGTGGCGCGTCGGGGATCACCGATGGCGCGTCGCAGGTCCGGCTGGGTCGCTGCAGTCAATGCTCGTCGGGTCGGTGGGCTGGGGCTCAACGTGGGTTGATCTCCGGGGTTGATTATATATATGTATCTCAATAAACCACGGGATCTTCTACTGTATATCTCAAACACCCTCTTCAACTTGTACCGGTGGAACAACAAGAAGAAGATAAAGCTCGAATGAGAACTGAGAGAGAGAGAGAGAGATGTGGCGTGCGTGTAACGTGAATTATGAGAGTTCTCTCTTATTCCCATGAGCTTAATGATGTATATATAGAGCTACAGTAGGGACCCTTAGGAGATTAAGAGGATGAATCCTTAATTAATTAAAATACTTGTGGGTGAGCCCACTTATTCTAATTAATTAAATAATATTAAATGAGTCACCAACATAATATTATTGCACTCCCTTTTTCCTAGCCCAATTTACAACTGAGACTCCAATAATAATTACTTGAATTATCTCCCCATGTTTAAGATATAATGTCCATTAATTAATTCGATTACTGACAATCAAAAATTAATCAATTTATTATTATTTCACCGAAGCTAGCGCTCGTTCATCACATTATTACTATGCCACCTGCAGGGGTTAGCATAATAATCCTTCATGAACTCACTCCGGGGACATCATCAAACTAAACGCACATGGTGACCGTAAATATCCTAATAGCACATCATACATGTAGCAATATTACCCAAGACAGATGATCTATTGGTCCAGTTCACTAAACATCACCCATGTGAATCAAAGTAATACGTACTACACATATATGTCTGTTTAATATCTTACGGGTTAAGAGTACGCAGTAATTAACCGAGGCCTAGTTCGTTTACGAAGATCAATACAAATCAAACTGCTTCTCTCTGGGATCCTATTAAATACATAAATGTTCTAGTG